CCTCAGCTGGGTGTGGTGAGAAATCCTCTGTCCTCTCCATCCCGTCATGCTCATGACCTCACCCCCAGAGGCTGATAAAACAAGGAAAAACAGGCTTTTTGTTTTCTAGGCTGGAAAAACAAACAGTTTGCAGCCTGGACACATCTCCTCACAGGCAATGTCACCTTGGGGGAGCCTGACAGTGCAGAGAGGGAAGGGGAGCATGGTCAGAGCTGGTGAGAAATCCTCTGTCCTCTCCATCCCGTCATGCTCATGACCTCACCCCCAGAGGCTGATAAAACAAGGAAAAACAGGCTTTTTGTTTTCTAGGCTGGAAAAACAAACAGTTTGCAGCCTGGACACATCTCCTCACAGGCAATGTCACCTTGGGGGAGCCTGACAGTGCAGAGAGGGAAGGGGAGCATGGTCAGAGCCTTGCAGCCTGTCTGGGAGGGTTTGATGCTGTGCATCCCTCCCTGCAGCTCAGCCTCTCCTTGGCTGTGGTGGCTGCTCAGCAGCAGAGGCAGAGGTGGGAGAGATCCCTTGGGTTAGGGAGAGCCCTGGCTGAGCTCTGTGCAGTGTCTGACATCCCTGACAAGAGCATCAGCATCTCCACAGCCTTGGGGATGGCAAACTTTCTCTGTGGCTGCTCCAGCTTCACATTCAGGCTGAAGGCAGAGATGCTCCTTCCTTTCCTCCTGGATTTCCCATGCAGATTCTTCTCCATACTTCAGTTTTTCAGAGGTATCAGGTCTGGATGTCTCCCATATGCTTTGGTAAGAGCTGGTGACATCCAGCAAAGCTCCTACCTGTGCCAAGGCTTTACCCCCAAACATCTCATACCTGCTCTGCCCTCCCAGGCCAGATAAGGTTCAGTCTCTGGGCTGCAAAGGTAACTCCCATAACTCAGAGGCAGATGTGGCCTTGGAAGCACAAGTGATGCTGAGGGGGAGGAAGGAGAATGAATAAGCCAAGATCTGAGTGCAGCTGTGCCACGTGAGTGCAGCACAGCCTTGAGAGGAAGAGCTCACACTTAGCAAAGTAATTAAAAGTTCTAAGTCAGGCAAGCAGCGGAGGCTTCTGGCCCCTTTCCTTGGGAGATCAAAGCTTGTTTTGGCAGAGGCAGTGTTTAAGTGTGTTTATGAAGAGGCAGGAGCTCGTCAGAGGCAGCTCTGTCTCAGCCTCGCTCGCTTTGATATCCCATGCAGTGGCAGAGCTCCCTGGGACCCACATGAAATGCTGAGCAGAATCAAACAGGCTCTCACGTTTGCACACCCACAGCTTCACGTTTCCCCCCCTGAGAGCACTCAGCAGGGTCCTCCAAGCCCAGGGGCAAGCAGAGCCCTGTGGGAGCATCTCTGCTGGACTGGGAAACTCAGGCTGGGCTGGGCTGGCACATCCCCTGCCTACCCTGGCCCCAGGGCAGCCAAACACCTTGCCCTTCCTCTCTGCAAGTCTTCTGTGTATTTTACCTGCTTTTTTTTCCATCCCCTTTGGATGCACCAGGGTGTTGATTTACCTCTGGCTTTATATTTAATGTTCACAGAGATGAGGAGGTTGATTTGCTGGGGGGTTATTGGTTTAGAGAGAGGCAGTGCTGCTGGTTTGCACCTTTTACTGAGCTTTGGGTTTATTTACCTATAGGAACCAGCACAAAGTCACCCAATCATTTAAACTATATTGAAACTGGCTGAATAGTCCAGTCGATAGTCCAACTATCATTATCAACCCAACTCTTTAGTTGGACTCTATTCAGTCAGATTTTAAATGGCTTGGTTTTTAGGTTTTTTTGCAGGTAATTTACTTAGGAAACGAGGAGGCTAAAAAGATTTAATGCAGTTTCATTGATTACTTTCATAGCTGTGGTTAGTTCAGGGTTTGTTTCCTAACTGTTTCTGTACAAATGGATGGAAAGGAACAAGGAGCAGAGTCCTGCAGTGATCATGGGAGAAGGGATGACTGTGCCTACTTCTTGCCTGTGTGCCCAAAACCTCCTGGCAGTGTTTCCACTGCTCCCAAGCCCAGTGGCATGGGCTGAGCCCATCCCTGAGGTGTGGGTTGTCTCTCCAGCACACCCTGCACCCTCAGCTCACAGGTTCCCAGTGCCCATGGCACAAACCCACATCTTTTCCCAGGTCACTTGCCTGCCACCTCTCATCCATCAGCTGAGCAAACTGCAGCCAGGTCCCAGCCCTGCTCAGCACCCCGTGCAAACCAACCCTCCCTCTCCAGTCCTCAGCCATGAGATCATCGCTGGCTGCCTGAGCACATTGGGATCTGCATTAGGCAGAGCAGGGGATTGTCTCTGTACAGCCCTGGCCAAGGGCTCAGCCTGGGGCATCACAGCTCCTCCCTGGGGAGTTTCCCTGCTGCAATGTTCCTCTTTGCTCTGGGGAAATGTCCCCAGGGTGCCTGGAGGACACTGGGGCTTTGTGGCAGTGCCTTGGACCCTGCAGAGGTAACTTGCTGCAAAGTTAGAAGGGAGAGAACTGTGGGACCACTGGGGAGGGGATGGGACAGCTCTCCCTGCTTGGCCCCACACCTTTCCCCAGGGAGGTGCATCCTTCCCTTGGGGAGGTGATTCTCCAACCCAGCACACCCAGTCAGTGCAGCATCCTCTGTCCCAGCACAACCAGTTAGTGTTGCCTCCTCCCCCTTGGGAGCAGCATCCCTGGGAATCAGGGGAATCCACTTCACTTGGGGTCCAAGTGACCTGCACTGAACTCAGTCAGGGTTTGGCTGTGCCTCTGTCTGAGTCTCTGCGTGTGCCAGAATGTTCCTTCTGACCAGCTGTTAATTACAGAGTGAGGAGCTTTAAGTGCAAGCCTCAAACTGGACCAGAAGGAGCTCAATGGCTTATTTTGTTCTCATTTTTTTGCTCCTTTCAGGGTTTCTCAGGCTCAGTGAGGCTTCACACCTGGAGTCCCAAGAGAAGAGCTCTTTTTCTGAGCTGCTTTGCTTTTCAAGAGAGCTCTTGTGCTTCTCAGGGCTGTGTGCCTGGCTGGGGGCAGCAGTTTGGGACAGGAGAGCCTGGAGTGGTTTGTTTTGCAAGAAGAGATTCTGCAGCCTTTAATCCCAAGCATCTTCTGAGAAATGCTCATATCCTTGTGGGGAAGGAGCCTTGATGCCTGTTAGTTTTGGTGGTTCTGGGGCTAGATGAGGTGTGTGTGTGTGTGTAAACTCCCTGAAGGCAAAGCTCTTCCTATTTTCCTTCTGTATGGATGTGGCATAGGGAATCCAGAGCCATGGGCAGGTACCTTAGTGTTCCTCAAGTGCAGCTCATGTTTTGTCTAATGTCTGGGAAGATAAGGATGGGATGTTAAGGTGAATCTTCCCCCTGCAAAAGCCTGTGGTGCTGCTGGAGAAGGGCTGAGTGTTGGATTGGGATGTGGAAGATCTGGGTGGGAAGCAATTCCTCTCTCTGCATCCTCCTCCATCTCTCAGAGACCTTAGGGTTGCCCAAGTGTTTTGGAGGTGCTGCAGAGCAGAGCCACGTGGGTGGTGATGCACTAGGAGCACAAAGCAGGAATTCCCTCTGCCTCCTGGATATAGAGAAGGAACAAGATTTTCCCATCTCTGCCTGTTCCTGCACTGCACTCACTCCCTTTCCTCCTATTTTCAGTTTGTTTCTTAGTACACTGTCTTTGCCAAGCATCATCTAAACCTGTTTTTCTTGATGAAGCTAAAAAGTTAAAGGAAAAAGCAGGACATACCTTTGGCCACTGAATTACATTGTACAACATCTGTGTTAGCAGAAATGACTATAACTTTGAACATCATTGGGAATATTTTGTATGACCAAAACCAATTTTGATGGCTTGCAAGGCCCACATAAATACTGATAATGGATTACAGAGGAATAACTTTTGACAGAAACATTTTCATACATGGTTTGATGAGAAATTTAAGATAGTACATAAAACACTGAGGAAGGTTTGTTGTTCTGCTGCTAGGGAAGGCTTAGGCCTGTTTTTAACACTAGCAAGAATGAAAAGCATCATAGTACAAATTCAGTTTCTACAGGCTAAAACAGGTGGTACTTCTGCCAGCGCTCCAGCAGCTCACTCTCCTTTGTTTTTTTTCCTCAGACCTGGCTCAAGGGCACCTGCAGCTGGGCCAGCTGGGCAGGGACAGCAGCCCCCTGTCCCCTCCAGAGGTGGAAGGGCAGTCCCCGATGTCCGTGCGCTACCGCAGCAACACCCAGCGCCGCTTCTCCATGGAGGCAAGTGCTGCTGCAGCCTGGGCTGGGCAGGAGGGACATGGCACAGCTCTGGTGTCACCTCTCTGCCTGCTGGAACAGCTGGTGTGTGGTTCATGGGGAGCTGGAAGGCTCAGACACAAACCCTGACATCCTCGTGGATGCAGCGACAGAGCTGAGTGGTACCCAACAGAGCCCAGGGCACATCCCCATCCCTTTTCTTTTCCCTGAGGGTCCCACAGATGCTGTCACGTCACTTCACTGTTGATACCAGCTCTAGTTAGAGAGCTCTTCCCCTCGAATGTGTCTGTCCACTCCTCCTTCCATCACCTGCTCCTCTGTCCCTCTCTGCAGGATGTCAGCAAGCGCCTGTCGCTGCCCATGGACATCCGACTGCCCCCCGAGTTCCTGCAGAAGCTGCAGATGGAGAGCCCTGAGTTCCCCAAGCCTCTCAGCAGGATGTCCAGACGAGCCTCCCTCGTAAGTCTCACCCTGCAGAGGGAGCAGTGCCAGGCACAGCATCATCTCCTCATGCACACACAGCAGCTGCAGGTGCCAGTTGCCACCAGTTGTGCCAGTTCTGCTCTGCTCCTGTGTGTCACTGCCCATACCCAACCCTTTCTCCATGCACATCTGAAGGTGAAGGGGCTAGAGGGAGCCTGGGTGGGCTCAGCCTGGAGAAAAGGTTGCCCAGGGAAGTAGTGGATGCCCCAACCCTGGCAGTGTTCAAAGCCAGGCTGGATAGATCCTTGAGTAACCTGCTCTGGTGGGAGGTGTCCCTGCCCATGGTAGGGGGGGTTGGGACTAGATGATGTGTAAGGTCCATTCCAACACCTAAAATTCTAGGATTCTGTGAAAAGGAGGCTCAGGAAGGACCTTTTCACTCTCTACAACTCCCTGCCAGGAGGTGCAGCAGGTGGGGTCAGGCTCTGCTCCCAGGGAACAAGAGGGAACAGCCGCAAGCTGTACCAGGGGAGGTTCAGGTTGGACATCAGGAGGAATTTCTCCCTGGAAAGAGCTGTCAGGCATTGGAATGTGCTGCCCAGGGAGGTGGGGGAGTCACCACCCCTGGAGGTGTCCAAGGAACAACTGATTGTGCCACTCAGTGCTCTGCTCTAGCTGACAAGGTGGGGATGGGGCACAGGTTGGACTTGATGCTCTTGGAAGTCTTTTCCAGCCTCAGTGACTCTGTGATTCCACATCCCTTCCTCATGCACACCTGCACACTGCTCTGCAGCCCCCAGGCCTGCACATCCCTTCCCTCCCCTGTGCACATCCCTGTCCTCCTGGCCTGGCTCCATCCCCATGGGAGGAGGTGGAAATCCTCCTGTGGTTTAGCAAGTGCTGGAGCCTTTGCTAGCTGAAATGCAAATGTGGATAAATAATGAATTAGCCTTGGCATTAGTGTTGGCATTTCAGTTCCTTTGCTGCAGAGCAGCAGCAGAGGTAGGAGCAAACACTCTGTACCCTGTGCCCAACCTGTCTTGCTGCCCAGGAGTGCTCAGTGCTGGCCAGGCACCACAGTGAGGTCTCAGCAGGCAGTTTTGGACCCAACACGCCTGTTAGGAGGAGGGAGGAGGACAGCAGAGCTGGCATTTACCTGCCTGTGCTGTCTGATCAATAAACCAGACCCAGGCAGAGCGATGTGGCATTAATATTCATGGCCCATGAATAAGGCATGTGGCTCTGGGGGTTGTGCAGCACCTCAGATTGCAGCAGCCACTTCAGTTCCCTGCTCAGGGCTTGGCTGTTCCCAGGATGCACAGAGGGTTTGGGGAGTCAATGGAGTTCAAATCCCACTGTGCTCCCTTGGGATTATTTGCTGGGCCAAATGTAGCCTTGAGTTGAGCAAGAAAGCAGCTTCCCAGGCTTGGGAGAGCTTGCTGGGCTGGCACTGCCTTGCCATGGGGTAGATGTGGTGGGCAGGGAGGGCTGAGGGAGCATCCCAGACCTGGGGGTGGTGGTTCTCCCTGGGCACAGTGCTGGGAGCACTTCCAGTGCCTCCCCAGGGTGTTTTTCCCTGCACTGCTGATGGTCATCTGTCCATCCAGCTCCATCTGCTGCTGCTGAGGAGCATGACATGAGCTCTTGGAGCAGGGCTGGGGTTCTTGAGCTGGGCTGGAGGCAGAGGGAGCTGCTGGCCTGGGATCACACCCATGGAACTGTGTTTTGGGGGAGAATAACACCATTTTAGTCAGCTTCAGGAGCAGTGATTTGCTCTGTGCCATGACCCCTGTTCTGCTGGGAATCATCCCTGGCACACGGAGGAGCCAGACAAACCCAGGAGGTGTCTCTGCCCATACAGAAAACTGCAGTTTTGGAGTTGTGCTGGGAGTGACACCTAAATCCCTGGATTTGCAGGGTTCTGCTTCCATCACTGGGTACAGGAGAACAGATCTCAGCAATACATTAAAGAGTTACCATTCCAAGTGGGAAGATATCCCTTTCATGCTTGATTTGAGCAGCACACAGAGGAATGAACAGACTCACAGTGAGACCAGATGTAGGGAAGCACTCATGGAGAGGCTGAACAGGAGCATCCCATGGGGCTTCTCACTCAAAAAATATAAAAAGGGCATTTTGCAAATCCAAGCTCCTGCTCCTGGTGGTGTGGCAGGGAGGTGGGGGGAGAAGGGGACACAGGGGTGGCAGGGAAGGGGAAATTGTGCCAGCTGTGGTACAGAGGCAGGTGCCATCCATTCAGTCAGCTGGGAAGGTTTCCTGATGGATTGTCTGCATGGCTTCTCCAGGAAATGAAGGGACTTGATGCTCTTGGATCAGCAGAGCTGCTGCTTGCCTTGATGGATCTGCCCCAAAGCTGTCCCTGTCCAGTGTCCCTGACCTTCCCCCGGAGGTGAAACCATCCCAGGATGAGATCCCTCCCCAGTGATGTTTTCCTTTCTCTCTTCCAGTCAGATATTGGGTTTGGGAAGCTGGAAACATACGTCAAGCTGGACAAACTGGGAGAGGTGAGTAGCCTATGAAACTCCTGTAGGGAATGAAGTGAAGTTAGAAGGACAACTTGAAGTGCAAAGGTTGCAAAGGGCCAAATTCCTTCCATGTCCTGAACTTTTTAGACCAAGTCTTTCGGTGGAGTTCAGTCCTGCCCCTGTCACTCCTTCCTCCAGATGGTGTGGAGGTATCAGTGTTGTGCCAGCCTGAGATGAGCCCCATGCCTTGTGTTTTCTCTCCCCCCACCCAGGGCACCTATGCCACTGTCTTCAAAGGACGTAGCAAACTGACTGAAAACTTGGTGGCCCTGAAGGAAATCCGCCTGGAGCACGAGGAAGGAGCTCCTTGCACAGCCATAAGGGAAGGTGAGAGCAGGAGATGCTTCTCCCCAGCACAGCCCTCAGGTCCCTGCTGGATTTGGGGCTGGATGTGTGAAATTGTGGGCAGCTCCAGGTCTTGCTGGAGCTCTCTGCTCCCTCCCAATCTGCTCTGTGCTCACCTGACCTTGCAGTGTCTCTGCTGAAGAACCTGAAACATGCCAACATCGTCACCCTGCACGACATCATCCACACCGAGCGCTCCCTCACCCTCGTCTTCGAGTACCTGGTGGGTCTGGGGGAGGTTCTGTGGCAATGGGGGGACACTGACTGCCTATGGGTGGGTGATGGGGCCAAGGGAAGGACCTGACCTGTGCTCCTCCCTGCAGGAAAACGACCTCAAGCAGTACCTGGACAACTGTGGGAACCTGATGAGTGTGCACAATGTGAAGGTGAGGTGATGTCCCCAGGACCCTCTGCTTCTCCCAGCTGAGTCAGGGTGTTGAGGGAGGCTGGAGACTCCTTCTCCTTTCAGTTCTCCCTTGTTACTCTTCTTAGACCTTTTCCAGCCTGTTCTGAAGCTCTACCAGCATTTCCCTGGTCACTGCCACCCTAAATAAAATCACTGTGCTTGCAGACTTTGGTCATCCCTTTTCTGGACCTGAACATTTGTCTGCAGCATGTCTCACCCCAGACCACCTTTGAGGGGTCTTTCCTGACCATCAGTTTGACAGCCCTTGAGGCAGATTCATCTTTGATGCCCATGTCCCTGTGCTAAATGCAAACCCCTTCTCCTCCCTGCAGATCTTCATGTTCCAGCTGCTGCGTGGTCTGGCTTACTGTCATGGGAGAAAGATCCTGCACAGAGACCTCAAACCCCAGAACCTGCTCATCAACGAGAGAGGGGAGCTCAAATTGGCTGATTTTGGTAGGTGAAGCTCTCTGGGGAAGGTAGAGCATTGCAGCTCCTTGATGTCCACCCCTTCCATCCCTCAGGACTAGCCAGAGCCAAGTCAGTCCCTACAAAGACATACTCCAACGAGGTGGTGACGCTGTGGTATCGACCCCCTGATGTCCTACTGGGATCCACTGAGTATTCCACCCCCATTGACATGTGGTGAGTCACAGCTCCACGTGGACCTTCCAGGGCTCTCCAAGACAGTGGGTCAGGCATTGTCATCATGTAGGTGCCCACAGTGTTGGGTACACCAGAGCTTGTGAGGCTCTCCCAGAGCTGTTTCCATGTCCCATGGGGATGTTTATCCTAGAGGTTCTGAGGCTTTCCCAGAGCTGTTTCCATGTCCCATGGGGATATTTATCCTAGAGGTTCTGAGGCTCTCCCAGAGCTGTTTCCATGTCCTGTGGGGATATTTGTCCTAGAGGTTCTGAGGCTCTCCCAGAGCTGTTTCCATGTCCTGTGGGGATATTTGTCCTAGAGGTTCTGAGGCTCTCCCAGAGCTGTTTCCATGTCCTGTGGGGATATTTGTCCTAGAGGTTCTGAGACTCTCCCAGAGCTGTTTCCATGTCCTGTGGGGATATTTGTCCTAGAGGTTCTGAGGCTCTCCCAGAGCTGTTTCCATGTCCTGTGGGGATATTTGTCCTAGAGGTTCTGAGACTCTCCCAGAGCTGTTTCCATGTCCTGTGGGGATATTTGTCCTAGAGGTTCTGAGGCTCTCCCAGAGCTGTTTCCATGTCCTGTGGGATTTCCATGTCCCACGGGGCTGTTTATCCTAGAGGTTCTGAGGCTCTCCCAGAGCTGTTTCCATGTCCCATGGGGCTCAAGGTCTTCAGAGCATCCTACCCACATCAGAGTGAATGTAGAATAGAAGGGACACATCTCTTGGAGCTCTTTTCACTGCTCCAGGAGCCTCATCCCTGGCCAAGGCGTGGTGAGTCCTCCCCAGGTCTTCTCCCTCCTTAATATCAGGATCTCCTGCGCTCTAGGGGTGTCGGGTGTATCCACTACGAGATGGTGACGGGGCGGCCCATGTTCCCAGGCTCCACGGTGAAGGAGGAGCTGCACCTGATCTTCAGGCTGCTGGGTGAGCGCTGTGCTGTGCCTGCATCCCCACGCGAGGGCAGTGCCTGCCTGTGCCAGCGGCTCCGAGCGGCAGGGATGGGTGGGTGGGATGGGATGGGGTGGATAGGGATGGGGTGGATGTGTGTGATGGGATGGG